AAAACCACAGAGGTAAACATATCTTTGACAAAAGGCCAAATCCAAGGGAAAACACAGAACTACACATGCAATTTCTTTCTGGAACAAAGATAAAAAATGCGAGTCAAACAAAATAGATGCTTCTGATACTGGCAGGCACGTGGGTATCAAGGGTTTGAAGATACTGAATATATTTCTGCAAAACTTAACTACCCGTCCTGCACAGGCATATGCAGCTAGCTAGTCTCCATTAACAATGCACCCACAGAAATATGCTACGCCCTTTTCAGCACTACCATTCGTCTCAGCTGGACTCCACTGAGGATCTTTGCTACAAAAGCATACAGCCAACATGCATTTCCTAGCACTACTACAGTGTGCTTCCTCCCATCCTGATCTTGAACGCTTAGTCTTTCCCTGGAAATAAAATTTTATATACATCCCAGCCCAGGTTACAGATCTGTAGTTTCAGATAGCTTAAGCAACATCCGATGCCAGGCTCTTTGAGAAAAATGAAGGGAAGCTCAAAATCAAATTAATCAGAACTCAATCCTGCATTCATCTTTCTTAGTGTCTGCATTTCCTCCCTTACTTCATGTTACGTTGTTGGTAGGGTTCAGCCTAGCCAGGCTGCATGCAACCAAAGTAGGACCGCTTGAAAATAGCAGTAACCTCTAACGAGTAGCGAGTGAAAATAGCTTTGTATCCTAACATTCAAAGCGTTGTTCAGAAAGCGAATTCTGCTAAAGAAGCAGAAGTACACAGAAAGCACAGAAATGCTCAGGTTACCTGTAATGAGTCCCTTCTCTGCACTCACATAGAGGTGTTCCTATAGTTTTCCTATTGGCAACTTGGAGAGTTTAAACTTTCCTCACCTGCCTGTGCTCAGAATTTAAGTAAAACTTTTGTATTGCTTGTTTTTCTGTTAATGCCATGAAGCTTCAGGATCTGAATAAAAGAGCAGATAGTTATTAGAAGTGGAGAAAAAAATCAAATATTCCCTCCTACATAAAACACAGTCTCTGCTGACCTCACATGAGTTCAACCGATAGTAACCATTCAAGCACTATCTGCTGAGGTAGGTAAGACCAATTCATTACTGCACTTGACCTTGCCTGTTGAGCTTTACTTCTCTTCTTAACAAGTATTTCCTTTCTTACATGTTAAAAGAAGAGCCTACAATAAAAAAAACCCAAACCCTTTCTATTAATTTCTATACCTTTTTCTCAGTAGCCCAGTGCTTCCTAATAAATTTGGAAATAACAATGAAAATTCCCCCACTACAAGCCTCTAGGGTCAGAGTGTTAAATATATGACCTAATCAGCACCTTATGCAAAAAGAAAAGAACAAATTGTGCTATAAACTCAGGCAATCTTTAAAGAATGCCGCTCTTTCAGAAAAGCCTTTGAACATTTTGTAATATTGCTTGGTAATTGCAGTTGGTAGAAATTAAGCAGCTGTAAAGTGTAGCTCTACTCATAGGATAGGAAGCTCCAGTAAGTTAAAAGCATTAATTACTGAAATATGCTGTGTAATCCAGAAAAGGCCTAAAAGCTGAAGCTATTGCACCATTACAGCTCACTCAGCAAAGCACGCAGCTGGTCTGGAAAAAAATTAGGAATGCACATGGCTTCTAGAATAGTTTAGAAAATCAGATATAAATCAGAACAGATTATTTAATCAAGAAAAAGGAAAGAATTGAGAAGAATGACGATAAATCAGAGGAATAGGCAGATTAATCAATAAGTTATTGTCTCATCACCAAGAGACTACATTGCAGAGAGGGAAACGTGTCTGGTGATTGAACAATAAAAAGCAACTGACAATGCTGAAGTAAGACATTATTTGCATAGTACAGGGTGTCCTTAAATAAACTACAGGGAAGCAGGTACAGGGGACAGCAAGAAGACAACTTTTCCTTTTTTATTTCTCCATGCAATAAAAAGATACGATGTCTGAAAGACCTTAATGCTTTTATGAAAAGAGAGGCCTTCCAAACTCAAGAGCATTAAAATCCATTTTATGTGATGAATATCCTTAATTTTATTATTTGGACAGTGAGTGAGGAGTCTATAGAGCACTGAAGGATTTTGTTCACGTCTGTTTTACATTATTATATATATACAAAATATATACATATTTTGCATTGTATAGTAATTGCCATTGAAATATCTTGGAGCACTTGCCAAATGTTAGTGATTCAAACCATCGAAACATTCTTGTAGATGTTAGTTTGTATTTTCTGTCTACAAATGTAGGCTCAGAAAACCAAGAGGATCTGCCAGAGAGTAACATATTAGTGAAAATGCTCAAAATAGAACTTGGATCTGATTCTCAAAACCAGGAATTACAAATGGCCATGTAAGCTCACGTAAGGCACAAGTCAGGAATTTAATATGACAATATTAATCGTACACAGCTGTCTGAAGAACATGTGTATCTAGGTAGAATAGAAGTTTAATGGGAAGATATATTGGTTTTATAGAAAATCTCTCACCGCATAAAAATGGTCAAAATCTCAGTAGAATAGGAAAGGCCATTAACCCCAGAGAGCACAGAAAATTCATTGTTCAGCATGGATTACTTACACTGAGAAAGAAGTATCCACTATATAATTCATCAGGTTACACTTACATCAAGTCACTTAGCTTGGATTTGTTTGTTTATGAGATATTATGGTATCACTGAAGAAAACAGAAGGTCTCTACAGTTCAGAAATCAACCCTGTCTCTGATGTTCGCACAAACTTCTTGGGGCTGAATGTCTCACAACCATGTTTCTTCACATATTCCCCCTCTTGCTTCCTTTTATGGGTCAAGACCACCTGAAATTCTTTTAAAAACAGATTAGATGGAAATATCTGAAAAAACTTTCTAAGCTAAACCTTGACTTAAGATGAGTTTTGATCAAAACCTGCCATGAGATGGTAGTGAACAAATCAGATGTCTTTAAACTATTATGAATGGTTTTTTGTGGTAATCAAGATCTAGACCCTCGTCATAGCTAGCATGTACTGAGGAACAGAGCTATCGACTGTTTTTTGAATGAGGTGAAATACCCTTCTCAACATCTTAAGATTTTCAATTTTAGTCATATCACTGGAGAACTCTGAAGAGGAAGTGCCATTTCCAAGTCCAAGTGAACAATCTAAAGATCAGTTTTTTTATGAAGACAGGGCAGGGAGAAAGGTCTAATAAGCAGCATCTCTCCCACTAGGAGTCTGCAACAACATATCTCCCTCCTTCTAACTTACTACAAGGCCCAATGAGAAAAGGAGTCTTCTGGATATTACACCTGCCACCTGCTCTACAAGTTACAGAGAAAGTAGCTATAAAAAAAGAAGAAATTCAGAAACTTGTTTACAGTATCAGTATTTCCCAGATAATTATCTTCTTGTTATATTTTAAACATGTCTTCCATATGAAATTCAACTGTCATACCAAGCTATGTGCACATACAAAGTAGAACTGAAAGAGCTGACTGACTGTTTATTTTAAGTGATTTTTTTTCTTTACAGTTTAGTATAACTGGAGGTAGATGCAATATTAAGTCATTTTCTTCCAGTGGTTTGAAATAATAGTCACCTATGAACATTAGCAGAGTCCTGGATATTTGAATCAGTTGTTTAAAGCGAAGCCTACAGGAACATACAAATGAAACAACAAAAAATAAATCATAGCAGGTTATATGATGATTGTCAAGACAGTATAGTGCAGATCATCTTGGAGGAAAGGTTGTTTGTTGTCAGCACAGTAAAGCTAGTACTGCAAAAAAATTATATGATGTACGCTACTTGAAAAGATACACAAGATTCAGAGACAAAGTATTACAGCTGTGCTGCTCATATTATTTTCCATATATCTAAAACCATCAAGTTGAAGAGAATTACATGGCAAGAATCTGGTTCATGTAATCATATGAAAATAGATGCTGCAATTGTCAGAACTTTTGCCTTAACCAAGCATATCTGACTCATTTTCAGAGCTATTAAGTTTCTCCTCTTCAATAGATGCCTTTGTGGAAGCAATGGAGCTTCCTCTTAGCACCTTCAGTTTAAAGTATTTTTTATAATCACAGTACACTATTTTTTTATCCATTCAACGAAGAAGTGCTTGCTAACCTCTAAGTGGGGACAAATACTAATAGTCAGACACAACAGCTATGGTTTATTAACAAAATTAGGTAGTAGTGTCCTTTCCTTAGAATCCTAGATTTGCAAAAGAGCAAAAATGGTCTGGTGGAATACAAATGGCAAAAAAATATTTGTAGCAATAAAATGAAAAATGCTTTTAAAATAAAGTCTGCATAGCTTTTTTCCCCTTTCAAATTCCCCACAAAGTTTTTTGAACATATGGATTGCCCAAAATGCAGTTACTTCTGTAAAGTGAAATACTAATATACATCTGCATATATGACCATACACTGCAATGTATCTCAAATAGATGTTTAAGAACAGCTTAGAAAGAAAAAATCACATTATGTGCTTTGTTCCCTGGGTGCAATTTCTTGATAGGTGCATAAAATTTGGGGATCAATCAACGAACAAATTTGAGCATGTACTTAATTCAAAGACTACAAGTAATTTTACTGGAATGAGTGGGACTCAGACTTTAAGATAAACCTGTCCTGATGCCCTCAAATTAGCAGTCCTATAATGTTCTGCCTCTGGCAGTATGGAGTACATTTCAGGAAATTAAAGATGCCAAGTAATAACTGACCTCCTTTTCACCCTTCCCTACCAAGAAAAGAAAGCTTCCCAAGCAAAGTTTACAAGAAAGCTGCAGGCAAGCCTCACTCATCATGCAGATGTAATGGTCCTTTTAAAGTTAACAAGCAAGATTAGCATTTGATCACTAATATACAGGATACATACAATAAAACTTGCACTGGTTTTAAAATGGAAATGTACTTCCTGGCTCAGGAACTGTGATCTGCTCTGTAATGCACAAAATGTATCATTTAAAATTTTTTTTTCTTCTTAGTTAAAACCTAAATATTGCATCCAGTATAAATTTAAGTATTTTACATATGAAGCTGATCTATATAATATGTGAAACTTTACAAAATAGTATTAAAGTACTCAATAAAAAGATCACATTTAAAATATTTACATTTTATACATTATTTCCCCCTACTTACAATTATTAAATAATCTTCTGTGGTTTCCTTAATTTTAGGGAAAAGCTTTTATTAACTACAAACTAATTATTAATTATTTTCAAATGGCTTTTTACTTAAACAGAATTTTACCAAAATCACCATTTCCAATGTGAAACATTATGCCCATGTTTTCAGTAGTTGTTATATATCAATATATCCATATTTTATAGTTGTTTTATAATGCAGTCCTATTTTCTGTAATAAACAGCACAGATCTAAGCAAGAAAATGGAACAGTATGGATAGAAACATTATATTCCCAACTCTTAAATCCCTTTGTCACTTGGCTTCTAGAACATCCATTTCTTGATAATTTATATTATTCTTCCAGTATTTTCAAGGAATCGCAGATTCAGAATTTATTTAGGGTTTTGTCTCATCATCTTTTGAAAAGTTATTTCCTGAAGATACTTCACAGACACTATCACCATCCGTGCTGAAATCATCATCGTCATCATCATCGGAATCAGCCAACACTTTATTTGGCGACTTCTTCAGTCTACTAAAACAAAAATACACGGCTTTGCTATTAAAATTGCACATCTACACACATGCAGACATTTATGTAAAGCTTAAAACATCTGACAGGTAGGATTTACATTTTTGAAGGGTATCAAAGAAACTTGTGCTCCAACAGGGGTAGTTTATGATAGACTACATCCTGCATGGAAGAAACATGCAATAGAATGAAGAACAATCAATCAATCATATTTTCAAGCACCTCTAACTAAAGTCACAGAAAGGAGAAACCATACACTTTGCAGAATCAGATGCTCAAAGATGGAAAACTAACAGAGGACAGATGTACCCCTCAGTCATTAGCAGGAAATTGTTATTACTACAAATGACAAAAGTGTCGAGTCCCACCACCTTTTTCCATTTTTTATTCCCTGCCTCAACTGACATTATTCATCAGGCAAGTCTTGGAAAGATGGTTTGGGCACCACTTTTCCCTAGAAATGCAGAATTTCACAGATGTGACTCTTAAACTCTTTCTGCTTATGATAAACTTGAAGTTTGTTAGAGGAAGCCCTCAGCTTACGGACTAAAGGAGCAAGAAATTTATCTTGCGAGTGGTGGTGTGATACATAATTGTAAGGTCTGACAAATCCTCCTACCTTAATTCCTTCTTTGCAGCATTAAGCTGTCCTTGCAATTGTTCATTCATGTCTAGTTGTTCTTCCAGTTCTCTCTGGAGTTTCTTCTTAGCACTTTCCAGTCTGTCTATTTCTTCTTCAGCTTCTTCAACTTGGCGTTTCATTGCTTTCAAACGCAAACTCAACTGAAATATTTACATGTCAGATGATTAGAAAACAATTTTAGTAAAGAAATTTTATTCTTCCAGCATCTATGAGAAGGAGAATAAAGACACAACTTTGCCAGTGTAGTGACCCTGTAATCCTATGCTTCAGAAATACTTGAAAGTCAGCATCAGACTTCGAGAAAAGTAATGAGATACACTTTTTTAAGAAGAAAATACAGCAACAAGCAAACATAGCTTTGGTAAAGTAAGACAATATTATGTGACAGCAAGAGCCAGTTATCAATAAGGGAAGACTGAAGCTATTAGTGTGTCTAAGTTCAGCAAATTTACCAGACAGATGACATAAGACATGTTTTAAAAAGATTGTTCCCTTAACAGATGTCTACAACTTGAAATACACTGTCCATTCTCTAAGCAACACATTAACTATTTGACTTGTGTACTGAAACGAACCATGTTTTAAGCCATGAATCCACAAAGACCACAGAAATGCTAGAGCACATTTCTCTTAGAATATCAATGTATGCTTAATACTAAAACGTATATTTAGCAATGAACAGCTTCTTTCTTTACACAACATTTTACGATGGCGAAACAGAATAGATTATTTGGTGGTGCATGTACTTACAGGATCTTATACTATCTGTTATGGGCTTTATTTCTTAAAATAATTATACCATTGCTTCTGTAAGTGCTTTCTTTTCTTAATTTTAGAGTTTAGTAACAATTTAGTACTAGGCAAAATAACATTATGACAATGAGAACTGCAAGCCTCATTAAATTGGAGTTCATAAACTATGAATTAATCAGTATCTACTTATAGTCTTCTCATACCTTTTATACAGGATGACTTATGCTAGTAGGATTAGTATCAGATATTTGCAAACTAGTCTTTCTCTCTACCTGGTCCTTTTGATCAGTCAATGAGAGATGCTCATCATCTACTTGCAACATTAACTCCTTCACTTTTCTCTCAAGTCTGCGATTATTTAGTTGCAAATTAGCTCTATCCCTAGGAAAAAACAAAACAAAACAACACAACAACAAAACAAAAGATAGGCATGTAAAAAAAGGAACTAAAATACTTCCAGTCCTGCTGACCTACTTCCTTAGTGGTTTCCTAAGAATTCAACAAATAATAGGGGCCCTGCTTTGATTCACTGATTTCATGTAAAATATTCAGAAATTTGTTAAAAAGCATGAACACCTACGGGGAAATTCTTCTGTCTCCAGAGTAACATTTAGGAAAAAAATATACATTCTTCCAAGATTAAACAATGAAATGAGAATAAAAATGGAAGTGTTAAACTATGGTTAACATTTCTAAGTCATTTACCGATATTAGACCTTGATAAAATAATGAGGTATGGAACCATGTTAGCACTGTGCAACTTCTAATGTGCCTTCACTTAGAAAGAAAACCTGTGATACTTTTATGAAATAACGACCATTTTAATTCGGTGGTTGTGAGAACAAAATCAAGTTAATCGTATTAGAGAGTTAATATTAGCAAGATGCCATATTAACAAACATAAACATGCATGGTTTTATCTTAACGTAACTAGTTTCACCTCTCTTCATTTTCAAGTCGTTCTTCTAGTTCTGTGATCCTTGCTTCCATTTGAGCAACAAGTCCCTCTTTACTGGATCGGTAAGAACCCTCCAGGTGAAGGATTCGGCTCTTCAAGTCTTTGTTCTACAGTTGGAACATAGCTGATTACTACATAACACGCTCACATGAACAAATATCACCTTAACACAAAATAAATATCTCCAGGCAAACATAAGGGGATCAGTATATTTTTAATTCAGCCAATATGGAAAAAGACAGTCAGCGAAATTTTATTGTTTACTACCAAAAAAATTTCTATTACTGTGCTTTATTAGAAAGAATTTAGGGTTATGCTTGCGTTAAGATTCTAAGCTTAACTAGACCCTTGAACTTCAATTGGTTGCAAGCCATTTCCAACAGCATTTTTTAATATGCTGAAATTTTTTAAATAGCATTGGATTTGTCTTACACTCCACAGACTTCTTTTGCCAAATTCTGTACTCTTCCTCTGTAACTCACTCATGTATGGCTAAAACAGACAAAGAAATTACTTGCATCCAAGATCACTTTATCAAAGCTGTTATTGTGGATTTCCGCCCCCCTTTCTTAACTATCCAACGCTACTCCTACTACATAAATACTTTGAAAAACTTTGCAAGCTGCATGATTTGTAAGAGCAGACTTTTTGATCAGATTTAGACTTTGATTTTTATGAAGCTAGGTAATTTAGGTTTTCAGTGGTGACCTAATGATAAAGTTGCCAGAATAAAAATAAAAACAAAACAAAACAAAAACACCAAAACCAATCAATCAATCAGAGTTACATGAGGAACAGAAAATAAAGCTCTTTGTTACACAACTTCAGACCATGATCTCAGATCTCAAACACTAAAAAAGCCATGATAGCAAAGTCAGAACTACAGTGCAAGGATACACATGGAACATACCAGTAGATGGCATTCTTTTTTCTTAAATAATTAAGATGGGACTAATTTAACATAACTTAAGGCACCAGATTAGGTGCCTGGTATAATCTTGTTCTCTAAATTCACATTACAATCTGTTTTATGTTCTTGAGACAGTCAGTACTATGGCTTCCTAAGATAGCTGGATCTCAGCTAGGGGCTAGGATTGTAACCTTGCTCTCAAAAACCACGGAGCTGTAGAATAAAATGTTGCAAAAAGTTTGAAAATATTTGTAATGTACATGCAATCATGGATACTGAAACAGGAGTCCCATTCCTTCCTAGACAACAGAGAGTAGAAGTTCTCTATCAAATCTGCACCTTTTCTTGCAGAGTCATGTCATTTTTTAACTCCTACAGAAGAAAATACTCCACTAAAATCATAATTGCTTGAAATTATGACCTGTTGTCAACCATTGTCAACAGTATTCCTGAAGTACCGTTAAGATGTTGAAGAACAGTTACCCCCAAATTGATCAAAGTGTTTACAGCTAAACTGGATAAGTGTCTTTGATACTCAACAAGTCTTTTCTATAGATGTGCTTTCTAAATGTTTCTCTATTGATATCTCAGTTTTATTCTGAAACAAGTGTACTGTATCAACCATCACATTTCTTATTTTTAATGCCTTTGATCCTCAAATGTAGAGACAGATATTTTGTGGTAGAAAGAGGCCTGCACTCACTTCAATAAAAATGTCTTATTATATTATATAAACAGATGAGTGCTTAGTATATGAAATACATAAACTGTGACAAATCTCAAGCTAAAATAATATTTTTTTATTTCTGTACCCCGAAGAGAAGACTTAATTCAAGATTATAATATTTTGAGTATCAGTATTAAAACACTTACAATTTTTAATCTATTCTTACTAACACATACTACCAGAAGCACACTATGGTGTGATATTACTGGCTACCAAATACTGTATTCCTGAAATGCTTATTTGAAGTTGCTAACGAAGGCAGATACCTATCCTGTTATCTTGCTAGTGCAATGATAACCACAATTACCTGTCTTTCCAATGAAATTTTGTCACACTCCAAATCTTGCTTTATAGCTCTTTCCTGAAGTAGCTCTGTCCTCATTTGTTCAATCTATTAAAGACAGAAATTATAGTAAAAGATTTCCATTTGTGTATGCATGTATATATACACACACATAATAAACATAAAGCATATCTATCTATGCAATGAAAAAATATTTGCTCTTTCTTTGATCTCAAGACATATGCATGATTTCAGATGAAGTTTAAAATTAGACTTGAACAAAATTTTCTGTTTCAGGAAGCCTATGTTATTCCCAGTGCTTATTCTAGGCATTTTCTAGCCACACTGGGTACTGCTGATGTTTGGTATATATACTCTGTAGCATGGAACTGAACTCTTTACATGAGAGTTCTATGATGTGTCAGGGAACGGAGTTCTGGAACATGGCATCAGTCTTCAAACACTTTCTACAGTTAAGTAGAACTTATCTATTGATTTTCTATAGTTAAGTCTGAAGCTCTGAATTGGCACCTTACATTTAAGCTGTTGACCAGTCTACTTTAAAGTTTCACTATTGAACACAAACTAGTAATTGCAGGGAAGTGAAACACTGTACAGACAATTACAGTTTTCTGTGTGAGAACAGTGAAAGCTCTTTTTCAACTGATTCTGATGCATACTGGATATGAACACTATTCCCCTCCTCCAGTCAGACTTATTTTTTGAGTTTGCCATTTCATGAGAGCACCCACTTGTACATTTGGGCAGGGAATGAGTTTTGTTTTGTTAAAACACAACTCCTGCTACAGTTTCTGTAAATATTTCAGTTGCATATTCAATAACCAAGAAAAGTACATCCTCCATATCTAAGATGTAAAAAAACCTACCTGATCAATACAGAATCAAGAGAAGAGTACAGAATTAGTTTGTTTTATCTCACTATTGGACTTGACTAGAAAAAAAAAATAATCCGAGCATCTGAGAAACTCTAAACTGCCCAACAACTGCTACTGAAACTTCAGGACTAAAGGAAAAGTTTCTAGTGCCCAAATACTCTTCTTGCCTCTTATTCCTGCTAAGACTGCCCTGAAGTCTTTCAAATGCCTTTGCAGATGCAGCTAAAGATACTACAG